ATGCACTTGGTTATAACACAACCTGATATTGAATATCTACAGTATTGATAGTAATTGAAAAATATCCATTATACTGAAATAGCTGGCTGATTTACTCAGTTTCCAAAGAATAGGATAGGATAGGATAGGATTCTTTATTGGCCAGGTGTGATTGAACACACACTAGGAATTTGTCTCCAAAGATTATAGTATTTTATACTATTTTAGTAGATAATTTCAGTAGTCACAGATAATATATTTTTTTAAAGTTTTAAAATGTCATGTCTAACTTAGAAGCAATATGATTGCATATAAAATTCTTAATTATGTGAGAAATACTTGAAGTGAAGTATTGTAGTCTAATAAAAATTGTAAATAAATAAATTTGGGTCATTATGCATAAAACGTGTGATGTTACTTAGGGAACATATGTAACTTTTATATAGTGTCATTCATACTATATATCCTGTAGTAATGAAACCAAGTGTTACTGGAAATCCATCAAAAATTGGAGCTGGAGTACATAAAATAATATCGTGGCCAACAAATTATGCCAAAGAGGATTTCCAAAATGAATTGGATAGTTCTTCTCAAAAGCAATCTTCTGTGCAAATTCCAATCCAGTTTTCAGAATAACAGGTTGGGAAAGGCTAATCTAAGGAATTAGGAGAAAAATAAAAGATCTTGACATATCTCATCAGAAATATTTGATGTATCCCTACTCGAATCTCATATGATTCTTCAGTGCTGATTGTCCTCCATCTCAATATTGCTAGATATCACCTTGGAAGGCTATACAGCTTCTTCAGTTTTCAAAAAGTAGCAGGTGAATAGATAGATGGATGGATGGATATTTCAGGATCCACAGGTAACCCTGAGGCTCAGAACATAAACTTCTGCATTTCATAGAAGCAAGATTCACATAGGATTCTTTTTATCTGCGTGGTATAGTAGATGTTACAACTATAATTTCTATTCAAGGATTAAACGCTGCCATTCCCCTTTTCAAGACATTTTTATATCTGTGGCTGAAAGTCCAAAAATGTTCATATTGGATGTGATATTGAGATTAAATAAACATATTTGGATTCACTCTATAATTTTCAGCTGGCAAAACAATGGCTCCTGAAATCTTCAGAATAGTTACTTAACATGTTGCATCCCAATCATCTTAAATTTTAACCACAATAAATAAGGCACTTTTTAAGGGTGGGAAAATAAGCCTATATTGCAAAATAGTTTGCCTAATCCAAGACCTCAACATAATACCTAGATCTGGGCAAGTGAAATTAATCGATGGACAGAAGATTGTTTGTACTTTTGAAGACAAAATGATATTCAAAGTGATTGCTTAATGGAGTTCACTTCAGGACTTAGGCTTCATCACTCACTTAGTCATCAGTTAAGCAACATTAGCAAAACTGACATAAGGTCTGAAAAAGTTTTCAGTTCTTTTAGTGTTTGGTCACTTCTTAAATCTACTAATTCAGAATGTTGGTTCTCATTTACAAAGAATGCACTGCCAAATTGATCAGTTCTATTCAAAGTTGTCTCAAAACACAGATCCAGGATTTCTGACCTCAGCTGTGCCATGCCCAGTTTCCAGTGTGTAACATAACTCAATCCAACATAGCATGGCAACTTAAAGAAAATATATGAGAGTTAATAATGGCTTCCAAGCTGAGATATAACCATGCATCCATTTATTCATTGTGGTATGGTGAAGATTTGAGCCTGATTTTTTAGCAAAGAACATCCAGATATATCCTGGGATATCAAAGAAAACGGTGTCTCTGTCAAATTCTCATGGATAAGAAGCAGAAAGTAACACAGCTACTTTCCTCCAGGGCACAAAGGCTTTCCAGAATTAGAGAAGGAACTGTGGGAAGTCAGCCCCAGAGAAGGAAATATTTTGTGAGATATTAAAAAGGACAGAATATTATATTTCCACAAAGGAATAATGAAAAATCTTAGGCAAAGACAGGCCAAAGTCTCCCTCCCCCAAGCAGAAACCAAGTAGGCCAACTTTTAGAAATGCAGATCTGATAAACCTTTCAAAAAGACTGTAGCCAGGAAGCTTGGAGCCAATGGGATTAGAAACACAAACACAACAACCGCTCACCCAAAAAAATCCAACACAGGACATAGCCATCAGCCACAGCCACAGGGAAGCAGGATATGACCTTTAGGACATAATAGGATTAATCCACCACCATCAGAATACCAAAAAGGACACACTCAAAAGCTCAGGTCAAAGTTCATGCCACAGGAACAGGAAACAACTCCAAACACAAAAGCCCAAGAAGGTATAAAAACCCACCGCCCCCAGCTACATGTGGTCAGCTTTCCAAAGCCACATTTTCTGTCTGGCTCTGCTCTTCAATGAACTACAACCTTCTTTCTAAAGCAGTCTCCATTTTGTTTATTCCTGACTTGGATTGGACCCTGATGAAGATTTTTCTTTCAAAAAAACCAAATAATATGGTTTTATGCAAAGCATGAATCCAAACAGCTATTATTTGTATCTCTGGAGGTAGAGTATGCCTGAGGTTGTATATGTAAACATGTATATGCTATCTGAAAACATTATATGGACATTCCGAGCCATCATTGTTTGCTTATTAAGGCAAGGCCCAAATTTGAGACAGGTATTGCATTAAGTCCATAGTTCACCTCCTCCAATAATCAGGTAACATCTAGATTGAACAATATGAACGTACCATATTGCTGCTATAATTTCTAATATATAATCTCTATTAAAGGAGAGTCATGTTGCTCTCTATTGAAACACCCAGGCACTTAATTTAGGATGAAAGGCTATGCCAATAGCCTTTCCAATCTGCAGGTATTGTAACATTACAATGGAGTCACAAGGCCTTTCTCCAGTTTTTTTAAAGTGCTTTCAGCATGCTTCTTCAAAACAAAGATAAATTAAACCATAGTTTTTGATGACATATATATTGTTAATTATGGTTAACACAAAAACATATCCTGTTCACAGGAAGGGAATAGAAGAAAAGGCATGTGATCTTTAATAATGTGTAGTCATATTATTAAACCATAACTGGCCATTTGATTTTAGTAAATAATTTCTATGATGTACATTTGGCTTCCATGTGATTTTGTTTCCAAGGTTCTTTTTTATTTCTTTTCAGGGAAGCTATAATTCTACAAACAAATTTCTGACATAATGCTTATTCCCAAGAATGTTTTTAGAGACTACATAAACCCAGAGGCATTTGCTGAAAATAATAATGAGTGATTAGAGCCTACTGCTTTGCTTATCTTTGATAAACATTGGATATTATTCTAGACTGGCAAGGACCCCTTCACCAGTTTGCCTCCTGATAAACTGGCATTTTTTTCACAGGACATATTTCCTATGGCAGCCATTTTTATGAATAAGGGCAGCCATTTTATAAGAAAGTCCACAAATTGTTTTAAAAATTCTAAATTTGCCCACCAAAAGTCACCTAAGCATTATTTTTAACACAACGAAAATAAACATTTGGTGTTCTGAAGAATGCTTTAGTTTTCACTATTCCACAATGTTTCAGTACTTTATTGCAATTTCTTGAAAAAGTAAACTATGCTGATTTCTTATTCTGTTTTATCTTCATTTTCAATGCCATGGGTATTTTTACTTCTGTTAGCTGCAATAGGAAGCCATGCAACATTTTCAGTATGCCAAAAACCAAGTCTTTGTCTCCAACTGTTTTGTTTCTCCTTACTTTTTGCAGTACTGTGGTATGACAGCTCTTCCTTCACTTTTCTATAAACTTGCTTTTGGTGACATTGCTTCTGATTGACAGGACACCAGACACAGCACTGTATTGCCTTTTTTATGGAGACAGGATCCCTTCAGCAGTGGAACATCTAATCTAAATTCTGGCAGAACAGATAAATGTGAATACAGGACTAGATAGAATGCATCTAACTACAGATATGGCTAATTCCCTCATTACTGCACTGAAACTTGGAACAACTTACCTCATATGCTTTGTCACAAAATAGCTGTGTCTGATCAATTCCTTTACCCATATCTGCATGTTGCTTGGAATGCAAAAGCATGCTTGCATTATCACCTCTTCCATAGTATGTAACTATACAAGCTGTGTGGTCTGGGCTATTTGCAAAGCAAGTTGAAAACTTGAAACTATTGGGTGTCATTCCTAATTGTTTGTCTTTGCGGTTGTAAGTATAAAGCATACAGAATGCTGCTGATCAGTCTATAGTTCTAGCCATTCTAGATTTCTAAACAGTGAGTACTCTGCAATTCTTCAGAAGTTGTGTTTTTCTTTAGGATGTGATTATTGGAGGCAAGATGGTGTTTTATAAATTTTACATACATTAATAGACAAAGCTCAAGAACTGGAAGAAATTATAACTTAAGTAGGGGGCAATCAACACTTTCAGAATGTTTCTTGTCATCCTTTTTTCTTATCTAAATTAGACGGAAATGGAATCTCAGTGTAAGAACATTAATTCTTCTCCTTCTGGCTGCTAGAACTTGCCCAGGTCTCCTTTAGTTGTTTCAATATTTTCCTAAATTCATGTCTTTGTTGTTAATTGTGAAGTCGTGTCCGACCCATCGCGACCCCATGGACAATGTTCCTCCAGGTCTTCCTGTCCTCTACCATCTCATGTCTTTACACTCTGCTTAAAATGGAATGTACAACGCCCTTTTGCATCTGAAAGAGAGCTGTCTCTTCTGTCTACTAAAGTGTCATATTTAAGAGAACATCATATGGAGCTAAAAACCTCACAGGATTCATTTTAATTCTTCAACCTTAGGTAGAATGATTAATCTAAATAAATGCATAAATACCTAAATACCTGACTAAACTGGAATTTGCAAGACCAAGATATGAAACATTATGTTAATACTTTAAAAAATCAGCTGGACATCACTGTTGCCATATTACCCTTATTATGAAATGAGTCACTAGACTTTGATGTTACTTTTACCTTCATGTCTACAATGTGTTAGTGCTCAAAATGTGCTTTAATATTCCCACTAGCAAACAATAGCGAAGGGGAGGTGGAAACTCAATAAGCACGAAGCACGAAGCTGAAGACACCAGCCTGAAGATGACGAATGGGACTTCGTCGAAACGTCGCCAAGACACCTCCAATTTTACGTGGGAGAAAATCCGAATAACCAAAGACCTACATATAAATACCCGTGAAAACCTCAGAATATATATATATATATATATATTGTCAAAATAATGATCACCAAGAGAATATCTATCCAAAAATAGAATAATTGCCTACCCCCACTCCCTAAGGGAAGTCGTGTGTGGGATGGTGGGGGAATTATGAGCAGGGGAGGAAAAAAGATCCTGACCCCCAACCTGACCATCCCTGAAACAGCTAACAGAGTAACGTATGACAGAATGCAAATTAGCTATGGAAAGAGGATAGGTGCTGATGTGGGGGGGGTGTGCTTGGGACTCAATTCGATCAGCTGGGGCCGATGACACGCTCCAGGAGCCGGAAACAGGCATTAAACAACTGAATATAAGACTTCCCCCGGTGTTTGCCTTTTAACCCTGACGATGTCAAATGTATTTGACGAAAGCTTGGTGGATTAAATTCTATTTTTGGATAGATATTCTCTTGGTGATCATTATTTTGACAATATGAATACTCCCAAGAGTCGCGTTTTTGTTTTTATTTCTAATATATATATATATATATATATATATATATATATATATATATATATATATGTATATATACACACACATATGGATATATGCATTCTGATATGGAGACACTATACCTGATGAGATGTCAGGACTGTGTTCTGTCTTCCCTTGTAGAACACTATATGTGATATGCATATGAACATTTTTGTGGATTTACTTTTATTCTTTTAATATATCCATTAACTTTTTATTGTCAATGAATTAAGAATAGGCTTGTAATGAAATGTGTGTGTTACCCTGGGGAACAAGGGGAAGGCATCTGTCTAAAAAACAATCAGACAAGAGAGGCAGGAGCTGCCAGTAGCTTAACAATCAGAGAGAGAAACTTAGGCAGGACCTGCCCTAATTGATCAGATGTTTAAAAGTGGCACCAGGAAGTTTGTACTTTCAGACTGGGAAAATTTGGTTAATTTTACAGAATTAGTTCATCTAGTCATGTTTGCTGTCTAGTTTAGCTGGGAGGCTAATAATTCTTGTATAGCATAGGGCCATGGTGGTGAACCTATGGCACGTGTGCCACCGGTGGCATGCAGACCCCTCTCTCTGGGCATGTGCGCCATCACCCCAGTCCTAGGCCTTCAACTAGGTTTTATAAAACCTTTTTGCTTTAGGCCTCCGCCACCATGTGCAAAAAAAAAAAAGGTTCAATCAATCAATTTCAACTTCTCGCGGAGAAAAAAAAGATCTTGCAAAGTTGGAATTGATTGATTGAACTTTTTAGTCTCACCCAGTCTGCCATTACCACCGCAGCCACGCCCACCCAATGGGCCACGCCCACCCGGCACCCAACAATACATGTGGGTTTTGGGTTGCAATTTGGGCACTCGGTCTCTAAAAGGTTCGCCATCACTGGCATAGGGTATCTAAGCAGAGTATTGCTCAGGATAATAAAATGATTTGTCTAATTTGAACATATCATGTTGTACAAATCTAGCTCTGTGATTTGTATTTCATTATTTATAGTTTAGTGCTGTGTGTGTAGGTCAACTATATTTAAACCATTTAGGGAATTGAGGGACCATCTTTTCCAAGTCACATCTACTTGACCCACTAAAGGGAGGAAGCAGGGGATGCTATGAGTCCCCTCTCCTAAAGAGGTCCATCTAGTGGGATTAAGAAGAAGGGCCTTTTCTGTGATGGCTCCCTCCCTGCGGAATATCATCTTCACAAATTGGCTCCCCCATTAATCACAATGGGATTAAGTGTCTTATTTGATTGTTGTTGCCAGAAGGTAGAGGGTTGTTGCTTTTTATTATTTTTCTATTGGGTTTTTATCTTTGTAAGCTGCCCAAATTTACAGAGAGTGAGTTAGACAGTCATATACTTTTTTTTAAATAACTAAATGTGACAAGGAAATTGGGTCATTCTGTATAAGATGATAGTGACAAAGACACTTGAGCCTTTGAGATCAGTCCAATTCAAAGCTTCCCAAGAAATTATGGGAATCTATTTTTTAAAAGAGTATTAAACAGTGGTCAACAAAACACCGAGAGATTTCTTCAAATCTCTCCAGTAGACGCAAAAATAATTTATGGCATAATTCCTGACTATATAGCATTCAGACTCTTTACAGACTGATGTATACTTCTAGAAGTTAAATTATAAGATTATACATAGCTTCTTGGCAAGAAAAATTAGGAAGAGGAAGAAGTTGGGGTTTTTGTTTGGGTTGAAAGAAAGGGGACAATGAACTAACTAACTGTTCTTGAACTAAGGAAGGGACTGAGTTTTAATTTTGTCTGACCTCCTGCAGTAAATAAAATAATCCAATTAAAATGGCATGGCTTCTTTTTCAGGAAAAGGAAAGAGACTGAAGCAGGCCAAGGAAGAAGCCATAGCAGAGATAGACCACTACAGGCTCCAGAGGGAAAAAGATTTCAGACGGAAGCATTCCAAAGTAAGTAAGAATATCAAGGGAAGGTTAGATCATTGAAAACTTTCTAGTTTGAAGCCCTCAAGGCGTTTCTGACTAATTACATGGGCTACGCTGGCTAGGGCTGATGGCAGATGGAACTCAAGTATCTGAAATCACAAATTGGGGAAAGAAGAAGCAGTACATATTAGGAATTGTTCATACATTTTGTGTAATCTGTCAGGCCCAAAAGGCCAAGAACAACGTGCTGAATTGCTTCAGAATATTGTTGTTTGCCTATAGACAGAAATATTGCCGAACTAAAGCGCATATTTGCATAACTACTAGATAGTCCCTGCGAACTGCTAGGGGGAGTTCCAAGCTTCTTTGTCTCTTTCTTAACGTGAAAGAGCCCCTCCATCCTGTAAGTCTGGACTACATTCCATCACAATTCAGATTTTTCAATCCTTCTGGGATTCTATTTCCACAACTTTAAATTATATGCATTGACTGTTCATACAGCATTGGAATATGAAATATGTGAAATGCACACATTCCTTTATTGAGTAAGTAAAAAGCTTAACTACTAGTCCTGATATATTCATTTGATGCAAATAATAGAAAATATAGATTATTATTATTGTTGTTATTGTTACCAAAAACATTCCTTAAACCCCAGGAAAGGGGATAATATTAAAATTATTATCCCTATCCTCAGCCTGGCTCCTTGCTTGGTTCAAAGAGGGTATAAGAAGGAGGAAAGATAAAACACTAGCAGATTTTCAAGATTCTGTTACTATAATCTATCTCAATAACATCTATTTCTAAACCTCTTGTGGAGACTCTTTCCTGATCTGGCCCATCTTACAGAGAGAAGCTGACCACTCTAGCCAGACACCTAAACTGACTGAGGCAACTGATTGAGCTTTTAAAATTAGGTTGCCTATTTCTCAAAGGTCAGTGTGATCCCTGGCTGAGGATTAAGTTCATAAAAAGCCACTGCTTTTATACATTAAAAAAAAAAAAATCAATGAGTAGAAAATTTAATCTTATATCTGTTGTCATTCATATTAGTCGTTTTTGAAGGTCCCCTCTGAAAAAGTAAAGAATGATGAAAGGGTTTTGCCCACATATTTGGCAGCAATTCCCAAGTAGTGTATTTAGAATTCTGTAAGGTTAAAACATTTAAATTGGTGTGAAAAGGAAGCACAAAACTAGAAGAAAGGAGTCACAGTTTGGAATGTATGCATCTGTTTTTAACATCACCTTGCTAAATTGTTCAATTGATGTAGAAATATCATTTAATTAAATGGTAGGTCAATGTTGTTTCCACCACAATCTGTCAAATATTTAGTTAATTAAAAACAAATTATCACAAAACCCCAACCCTGTGCATACTGTTCAGGCAAATTCATGCTTAGTATGGAATGCTACAGGATACAATTACATACTTTCTCCATCTCTGCATCAATGATGGTTATAACAATGGGTAACAATATAATATTGCACACAGTTAAGTATATTCACTCAATAAACTGATCGCCTTTACTTTTCCTCAATTCCCACATTGAAATATCAGGGGAAAAGATAAATCAAATTCTTTTCCAACCCAGATTAACCATGTGAGGCCTGCGGAGACATTTCTCTTACTTTGTGTATCACTTTTAAAAACTGTTTGTATATCTTGATTGATTAATATTCCACCTCTCCTTCAGAAGTCAAAGTGGCATACTTGGCACTTCCTCTTATTATTTTTTGCTCACAATAACAAGTTGATGAGGTAAATTGAGCTGAGTGTTTGAGGATAGACTTGAATCTGAGTATACCTGTCCTACCCAGCATCTAAATCACTATACCACGCTGCCTCTCAGAGACCTAAAACTTGACCTAAGTGCTCTAGTAATTAAGGCATGGAAGTTGAGACCTAATTCTCCTTCTCCCAAAGGTGCTTTTTCAAGAGGCAACTGGACTTCCTTGTTTTTCTCTAAAGACTTTTTGCTTCTCATCCAAGAAGCTTATTCAGCTCTGACTGGATGGTGGGAAATGGAAGGATTTATATTCCTTGCAGAGAGCTGGTCATTTGCATTCTTTTAGAGAGTTGTTGAGGCCACTTGGAGGTTTATCTGTGTCTCAAGGTCACCTGAAAGGTGCAAATGGTGTGGAGCCTTCTTGGAACTACTGAAACGGTTTTGTTTTGTTGCAGATGTTTCATTATCCCAACTAGAGAATATAGTGTTAGAAGAGTGTGGGGTTTGCTCTCTTTTTATATAGTAGTGCAGTGACCCCCCCCCCCAATCTTTCAGGTGCCAGGGAGTGGTTCTGCGGAGAGTGGCTTTTCTAGGGACTGGAAAAGTGTGGTTTCGCATGCTAGCTACCTCCTGTGCATGCACAGAAGGGGTTTCACTGACTTGCATGGCCCAGTTCCCAGTGAGCCACAGATTGGTGCCAGTCCATGGCGTGGAGGTTGGGGACCCCTGTACTAGTGGCTTGCCCTATCAGTGTTGGTGGGAGAGTTGTTGGTGGTTCCTTGATTAGTAATTCCTTGAAACCAATTTATCTTGTGATACTAAGTTGGCAATTTAGCAACTGGTAATTTAGCACAGGGGTAGCAAAGTGCACTAGCTTTGTAGATAGTCTTGTAACAACTTTGCCATCTTCTATTTTTTTGTTTTTTATTTTCTTTGGCTGCTTCAGAGAGATAAATACACACAAACACACCCAACACAAACCTCTCTAGCCCATAATCCTAGATTCCCCACAAGGGGCAAGATGGCAAGAGAGATAACTCCCTCAGAAAGGACTTTTTGAATAACAGCATCCTGCTGTTAAAAGAACATGAGTTCTCTTGAAACATGTATAGACGTTTCTGCTTACTTTACATATTATACCTTGTTTTGTCTTTGCAGATAATGGGCTCTCATGATAATCTATCAACAAAAATAGATGAAGAAACTGCAGCAAAGATCCAAGGCCTCACTAATAATTATCACAAGAACATGGAGAATGTGCTTGGTCATCTATTAGGCAAAGTGTACGACATCAATCCTGATATCCATCCAAATTATACATATACAATTTAAATCCCCTATGGAAATGTTTTAAAAGAAGCAGTTCTTGCAGAATGAGATAGCCTAACGAAGATGGCAGATTGGGAACTATCATTTTATATTAGCTTGTTACCAATTATATTTTTATTACCAGCCAGGACCAAACAGAATCCATTTGGATTTTCTGTTTCCAACAGCCAAATTATTACACATAATTTTACTACAGATTTTTTTAAAATTATTATTGCTTTCTTCATTCCAGCTGGATATATAATATAATCTCAAAGCTGAAACATATTCTTGAGTATAATATTTGTAATATGGCCAGCTTTTATAGGCAACTCTCTGGCAACATAGATTTCTACCCTCACTTTTTTTTTCTTTTTTTGTAGCAAAGATTGTATCACTTAAATATGGGCAAAAGCAGAAAAAAGAATTGCTTGACACCAGCAGCTTTTAAGTGGGTGTCTTTTTTTCCTTCTGATGTTCTCTACTGCTTGGAGAGTATTTTGTCATATGGCTTGTTGTAGGAAATCTGTTTGCCTCAATATGTGGAGTTTTAAAATAACTAAGTATACAATAAATATTATATATTATTAGACTTAACATTAACCATGTGTCTCTAGGGTGGTACATATGGGGAAGGTACAGTCACATTTATTGGATGCCTTTACATATCAGACGTACAGTAACTGCCCCAAGTTATGCTGGAATTAGAAGTTCTGTCTGTGAGTTGGCATTTGGCCAAAAAAAATCCTCTCTCTCTCTCTTCATTGTGTCAAAAATATATTTGCTTGGTTACAGCAAAGATAGGTATGTGACACCTCTGAAATAAGTAAGAGTCCTATTCATGGAATAGATTAAAGGTAGACTCCAATTCACAAGAAGTGGTAAGCAGTTCCATCTCTAAGTCTAACTAATGGCATAAGTGAAGAGTGGTTCTCCATAGGTTCTGCATGGTAGATTGTGTGGATCAATTATACAGAGACAATTTCTGCTGCTGAAGATCAGTTCCTCAGTGATGATACAGTCAGTGGAGGGATTCCTAATATATTGGCAATTTGAATTTTCAGTTCCTTTCTAATTTTTAATGTTATTTCCTGGCCCCTAAATCCCAAGTCATGGGATTTTTAAAAAATCACAAATACTCTACGTTTAAATAAACAAATAGTGACAAGTTCAATAAGGCACCTTTTAAAGCTGAACAAAGAGTAGAATGACTTGAAATATAAGAATAACTAATGCAACAAATCATTGTTAAGGAAGGTTACCCTTGGTGTTTGATTCTTCTATTCTCCTTCATCAATATTGAAAAGACTTCAGAGAGTGCTCTGAACTCCCACATTTAAAGAAGTGGTTGAAAGTATGTTCACTTACACAAAAAAGGCAGCCAATTCACGTTCTGAGTAGAGATTTTTATGCCTTTTTTGATATTCCCTCAAGTGCTACATACTATCATAATATCTGAATTCCAGGTTAATTAATGGAAGGAAACCTCAAAGGCTGCGGAGATAGTAAATACTGCACTGGAAACCAAGGCACGCAAACATTTGCCCTTCCCTATGAAGTAAAAAGCTTTACATGATTACATATAATTTTCTGCTGTGAGAGCCAGTTTGGCTTAGTAGTTAAGGCTAAAGGCTAAAAATGGAGGATTATGAGTTCCAGGCCTGAAGACAGCTGAGTTAACCTTGAGCCAAACACTCTCTCTCACTCTTAGGAAGCAAGCGCAAAGCCACCTCTGAAATATTGCCAAAAAGAGCTGCAGGGACTTGTCTAGGGAGTCGCCTGGAGTCAGCATTGACTCAAAGGCACTGCTTAAATAAATAAATAATTCTGGAGTACTAAGTTCTCTGGAACTGAATTTTGAGGATGGTGTTGCAAATCAGTTAAAACTGCAATCCTAACAAAAACAAATTGTTCTGTCAATCTTTCTCTTTATAGCTAGCTGATTAAGCATTGACAGCAAAGTTTACTATCTGCCTATTGTATTTTAATCACAGCGCCTAAAAAAAAAAAATCTAATGAGGTGTGCAAAATAAATTTTAATTCATTGGTTTTGATTTTTTTGTAAAAAAGTAAAAAGCAGAAAAAAGCAAGATAAAACAAAAGAGTATTACATCTACATTTTAAAAAACATAAGGAAAGACAAATTACTTCTTAGTAATTCATCTTCCCTTTCTCTTCTATTCCCCCCCCCATCAACTAGCTAAGTTTAAATATAAAAACTTTTCAACAAACATTACTAATTGTTGTTAGATTTTTTAAGTTCTAAAAGTCATGTTCCAGATGATTAATACAGGCTTGGTCTTTGATGTATTGTATAAAATTGCATATGCCACCAGAGCCACCTTATTAGTTGGATGGGCAGCATATTAGAGATAGATAGATAGATAGATAGATAGATAGATAGATAGATAGATAGATAGATAGATAGATAGATGAGTGAATGAATGAATGACCTATTTCTACTCTACTTTATTAAACCTCCATGCTATCAGCCCTCTCTACCACAAAGATCCTGCAGGAGAAGGCAGTGTGGACAACCGTGGGATCTGGCAGGGTGAGAGCTGTGAACCATAAACACAAAGCTTTTGCTGTGTCCCTGCACAACAGTTACAGTGCCCTTGCTGACCTTAATAGGGACATTAAGGAGATGGGTAAAGGTATTTGTGATGATAACTCAAATAAGCAAGGGATTGTGGTCCGAGATGAAGAACTAGATTTTGACAGAGAGAAGTGTGAATCGGGTATTACACATCAGTCATGCAAGAACAGAAAGGCATCCAAAAAGAGAAGCCACCTTCTGATAGGTGATTCAATTATAAGGGTTGTAAATTTAGGAAAGGACACAGAGGTTTTGAAAGAGGTCAGGTGTCTTCCAGGTGCTACTGCCAGTAGGGACAAGAAGAGTATTTCTAAAATAATCAAGAATGGCAGCAGGGATTGTGATGTGGAGGCTATTGTACATCTTGGCACTAACAATCTGTCCCAAAAAGATGTACTCTCTGTGCAGAACGATTTCCAGAGCTTGGGGCAGGACCTTAGCAGAATAGGCTGTAGGCTTACTTTTTCAGAGGTTTTACCAGTGTATAAGTAGCAAAATGGAAAAGGCCAGCATATAGCAGAATTCAATATGTGGCTAAAGGAGTGGTGTAAAGGGGAAGGCTTTGGATATATTAGTCACGATGTCTGTAGCTAGTCCAATGAAAAGATGTACAAAAGAGATGGTTTGCATCCATCAAAAAAAGGGACTGAGTTACTCAGTTATAAGTTCACAGATTTTCTGAAGGAAAATTTAAACTAAACAGCAGGGACAGTGAGTTAATTAATACAGAACAACCCTGTCCCCAGCAATCTAAAAATTATAGGGCTATCAGTGCATGTAACATAGATGTGTGTGGGGACAAGAATACCAACCTTGCTGTCAAGCAAAATCAAGCCTCTAATAGTGAGTGCCACACAAAGTGCACTAACCAAATAGGTGGTAAGACAATAGGGGAACTCTTGTCTACAGGTTATGTATAAAATAAACACAGGATCAGTCATAAAGGACTCAAATGTCTATACACCAATGCACAGAGTATGAACAGCAAACAGGGTGAACTAGAAATTCAGGTTAATGAGTGCAGATATGATATTGTTGCCATTACAGAAACATGGTGGGATGAAACCCAGACATGGAACACACAACTAGAGAGATTTAAATTATTTAAAAGAAACAGACCAAATAAAAGAGGAGGTGGAATTGCTCTCTATATAAGAAATAACTACATCTCTACAGAAATAGAGCACAACAATGATAAAAACTGTCTTGAATGCATTTAGGTCAATATAAAAGTGGGGGGAATGACATTGCCATAGGTGTATACTACAGACTACCCAACCAAACAGAGGAAATAGATGAACTTTTTGCTAGTCAGCTAACTAAGGTATTTAGGAAGCACATCACAATAGTAATGGGGGACTTTAACTACCATGACATCAACTGGGAGACAAACTCTGCACCAAGTGGAAGATCAAACAGGTTCCTGGCAAACCTAGCAGGCAACTTTGTCTCCCAAAAAGTAGAGAAGGGAACTAGGGGATTAGCCATTTTGGATCTAATTCTCACTAACAGAGATGAAATGATAGAAGGTGTTGAAGCCATAGGAACCTTGGGAGGAAGTGATCATGCAATATTGGAATTCAACATTATGGAAGCACAAACAATAGAACACAGTTAAACTAGAGTCTTGGACTTCAAGAGAGCTAATTTCAATAAACTTAGAGAGGGCTTGGGAAGGATTCCATGGATGAGAATCCTCAAGGGGAAAACAACTCAAGAAGCTTGGAAATTTTGAAAAATGAGATAATAAAAGCCTAGTCTAGCACAATACCAACAAAGAGGAAAAATAACAGCTCTCAACAGAAACCAGCATGGTTGCATAAAGACCTCTCTGACAAATTGAAAGATAAAAAGGACAAGTATAGAAAGTGGAAAGAAGGGCACATAATTAAGTCAGAATATCAACAAATAGCCCGAGCCTGCAAAGATGAAGTGAGGAAAGCCAAGGCTCAAAATGAACTAAGGCTTGTGACCAAAGTCAAAAATAACAAAAAAAAAACCCCTTCTTTTAACATGTAAAAAACAAGAAAAAAGTGAAGGAAGTGATTGGTCAATTACCAGTGGGTGAAAGTGGCAAGAAGGTGACAAGCAACAGGGAGAAAGCAGAACTATTTAACTCATTTTTTGCATCTGTCTTTGCACAAAGGGAAAAAACAGACCATCCTATCAAAAATAGTGCCATAAAAAACAGAATAGAAACACAAGTTAAGCTAGGCAAGAAAATGATAGGTGAGCACCCCTCCATTCTAGACAAGTTCAAATCACCGGGACCAGATGGATTACACCCCAAGGTTCTCAAGGAACTGGCAGATGTGACCACTGAACTATATTTTTCAAAGATCCTGGAGCACTGGGGAACTACCGGAGGACTAGAAAAGAGCCGATGTAGTTCCCATCTTCAAAAAAGGAAAAAAATGGACCCAGGAAATTACAGACCTATCAGCTTGACCTCAATACCTGGGAAGATCCTGGAAAAGATAATCAAACAACGAATCAGAGAACACCTAGAGGCAAACAAAGTCATTACTAAAAGCCAGCATGGGTTTTGTCAAAAATAGATCATGCCAGACAAATCTTATTGCATTATTTGACCAAGTGACAAAATTAGTGGATCAGAGGAATGCTGTGGATATAATTTACTTGGACTTCAGTAAGGCATTTGATAAAGTAGATGACAACCTACTACTTGACAAGATAGAAAAATGTGTGATAGACAGCATCACCACAGATGGATCTGTAGCTGGCTGACTGGCCGTCTCAGCATGTGGTCCTCAATGGAACCGCATCTACATGGAGGGAAGTGTCTAGTGGGGTGCCCCAGGGCTCTGTTCTGGGCCCAATGCTCTTCAACATTTTCATCAACGATTTGGACGAGGGGGATAGATGGGGAACTCATCAAATTTGCAGACGACACCAAGCTGGCAGAAATAGCCAACACTCCAGAAGACAGGCTTAAGATACAGAAGGATCTGGACAGACTTGAACACTGGGCACTATCTAACAA